GGGGAGATGTTCGCGGCCGAAACAGGCCGGGGGAGATGCTCGCGGCCGAAACAGGCCAGAACAAATTGTTAGCGGCCGAAATGGTCTCGAACAGTCCTGCTACTCCGCTTTGCTGAGCCTTTGCATCTGCGGCTTCCTCTTCTCTTGCTACACTTTTACTGGACGAAGAAAATTGTGGGCGACGGTGGTCTGCTGACTTTTGTTCCATGACTGCAGAGCAGCCGCGCTGAAGGTGAGCTTTTTGAATCAGCTTCGTATGTTGGAGCTCTTCTCTGGCGGATGCGCGGCAAGCATGCCGATGATTTGGTATTGCTGCTCTTTTCCCTGGAGTTTCTGCAGGAACCATGTCAGGTTGTGCAGATTAGGCGACACAGGTGCGTACTGGACGTGTAATTGGGCGACCCTTCGTAGCCCTGGCACCTGCGCAAGGCAAGCTATTTACGCCATCCCTTTCGCATCCGTCTCTCGCTGCTTTGAGGGCAGCTGAGACCATGCCGCGCAGGACATCCCTGGCTATGACTGACGACCCAGATATTCTGAGCCGACGGTGCACGGCCAACGTAGAGGGGCGGCGCATCATGTTTTTAAGGGGTCAGAGTGTCGCTTCTTCTCCAGGTTTGTGCAGCTAGGCTGTGTGAGCCCTGCCTGTTACCATTATTAGGCTTGACGTTTGAGAATGTGCACTGTCCGGCGCCGGCTTCTGGCCGCCTACCCTGCATTCTGCCCGGCTTGCTACTGTAGCAGGCGGTAGCAGGCCCATTGCAATGTGCAGGAACATATTGCAGGTGGCCGGCCACAGCGCTGTGCCCACACTGCCTGTATTAGTATCATTGTCTGCCATTGGACGGGGCAGTCGTTTTGCCCGAGGATGGACTTGGCGCACATGCGTGGAACTACCCAGCAAAACCGCCTTAATTGCGCGCGCCGCTTTGCAGAACTCCATGGCAAGTTACGACTTTCGCGCCGGAACCTCCAGCCGCAGCTCACAAAGAAGCGTACTTGTGTACTAGACTTTACTGAAAAGTTGCGACTTTCCAGCCGGAGCTGCCAACGTTTACTTTGCACTGAGACTTTCGAGCCGGACCTTCCGCACGTGTGCTGAGCATACTACAAACCTATGCGCTGCAAACCGTTGCAATGCACAACGACAGGGCCTGTTTACCTTGCAACGTAGATACCGTGAGTCGCAAATCCCCCACGAACCCGCAAATGCCCACGAGCACCTAATCACCGAGGTTTTGGGGCTATTTTTTTTCGAAGCTATGCAAGTCTCTGGAGATTCGCACCCGTATAATGAGTATGTGCCATCACTGGCCTGCCCCGAAAATGGGGGTGGTGGTGTTGTTTCTGTCGGATTCCCTTTGGGCCATTATCAAAACGGGTACCTTCAACAAGAAGCAGACATGCACAAACACCCACATAAGCAACCCTGGCCGCTTTTCACCAGTGATTTGTCGCTCTTTCCCCCAGCCGACTTGAGTCCCTTAGGATTCTCCCAAGCTGCGCCCGGATGTGGCGGCGCCGATCGTTGAGGAGCAGTGCTCGATTGGCTGGGCTTCAGTTGGCTGAAGGTACCCTCCAAAGGGATGCACCAACAAAAACTTCTGGGACCCGGTGGGTTACCCTTCAACCGAACTCGGGTCATTTTGAGGACAAGTTTCATGGCTCCAGGGAAGTACCTGGCGTTCGGTCCGATGTTGTGGTCGCACGGCACCAACTTGGGGCTGGGTTTCCTTCAAACACCGGGATGAGTTGCCAGTTGTTTGTTTCCGGAGCGGATGAGTTGATTTCTCGTTTGTTGCCACTCGGATTTTTCAATCAGGCGGACGAGCCTTTTGTTTGGCCCAGAGGTTGACAGAATTCGGAGAACATGTTGGGACACCAGGGAAAACCCTTGAATGCTTATTTGGCTTTATTTATTTGGCTTGTTTTTGGCACGGTTTGGCGCAGCGGCTGTAGCAAGTGCGATCAAAGCCGGCTACGACTTGAACGCCGTGGATCCAAAACCACGCCACACAGCGTATGGCGACACTGTCGTGTTGTGGTCATGGATCATCGCTCTCAACAGTGCCATCATCGCCAGCAGCTCCTCCAGGCGCTGGCGTCATCACCAGGTCAGTGTCAGTGCTGAAGAGTGTGCTCAGGAGCCGGCTGTCTGAGGGCCTTGGATTTCTCAATTTCCCAGATTGGCGCCACCTACTTCTCGCCTCTCTCGAATGATGGACTGATGATGATGGTGTGGTTGTTTACCCGCCTCTCACCATGGACCAAAACCAGCGAACTGCGTGCCTTGTCATGATTGATAGCCATGTTGTCATTTGCCATGTGTGTTGGCACGTGGACTCCTTTCGGATCGCAGTCGCTGGGGTCTGTGCTGCCTTTAAACGTGTAGAAAGCGTGTTGCGGCGGGTCCCATCATGTCCCCCACAGGGGGAGGCCCTTTTAGGGAAGGTTCCCGTTTGTTGAGGAAGCATCCAGTTCAGTGAGAAACATGTGTTTGGCAAAAGGGGAGGCCTTAGGTGGCGTAAGTCAGCGGCGAGGTTCGGGTGCCCTCGTGCGGGTCTGCCTAAAAAAGGGTAGGGCAACTCCCAAACTGGGTGGTTTCATTTCGGTTCCCTGTTAAAACCCTCCAACAAGGGTACCCTCAAAAAAGGACACTGCCAGGATTTGGGGGCGAGCTGCGTTTTCGGATCCTTGCGGATGGGACATCTTTCAGTGTTCAAAGGGGACGTTCATTTGGGGAGAATGTATGACACCCACTCAACCTGCAAGGGCACGGCTCAGACGGCTCACTTTGCGTTTTTGTTTGTTGGTGGTTTTACACCTCGCGATTTGCAATTGGAGGCTTTCCTTTGGGTGATGTCATGTCTTGGACATCTAGTTGGAGCCGTTGACCTGTTTGGGTTCCCTGGGGCTACGTTTGGTTTCCTTCTCCTCTCCCTTCCGGCAGCTTCACTTGCGAGGATGTGAGCTTGCCTGAGCCCGCGCCTGTGGCTGCAGATGGCTTCGCTACGTGGTTGCCCCTTTTCAAAGTTCGTTGTTGACCCCTTGGTCGTACAGATATGGCCTCAAGAGGTGACACTTTTGGGGGTTTGAGGTTGTAAAGAAGCTAAGACTTTGATGGAAATTGTCTTGTTGACTTCCTTTTTATGGCTTTCTTGGTTGTGCCCTCTTGCTTTGAAACCAGAGCCGAAGTCCATTTCGGCACCCGACTGGCGTCCACACCCCCTTTGTGGCACCGGCATGTTGCAAGCAGGGGCTGGACGCCTCTCAAAGCAGGTCGTGTTTGAGGCAGCCCCCCAAACTAAATCCGCTTTTCATAGTGGAATCCCCTCATAGACTCGCGTGAATAGGGGTGCCCCAGCGATGTGGTCAGTCAAGCGGAGCATAGAAGGCTGCAATCGGTTCAGCTGGAACAAAAGTTCGACGGAGCTTTCAATGGCAAGGTGTTGGTTTGGATCCCGTTTCGCAAGGCTCTTTAAATTTGTTGGGATCCCCATTCCAACGAACCACATAAAATTCTTCTCCAGCCGACCAAGTCACCAAGTCACCTTGGGTTTTGTTTCACCTGCGAACGAACGGAGAGCCAATCTTGAGCCAATCTTTGGTGCCATGTAGAACTCCTCAAAAGCGGGTGAAACTGTTCTTTCATCCCGGCGGTGGGGAAGGATTTGAGCCAACAGCTCGTTGCCAACAATTTCGGTTCAAACCTCCTTCCCTTTTCGCCTTGGTTTTGTTCACCTCCAAACCTCCTTCCCCCCTTTTCGGCTCAACAGATTTTGCCTTCGACACCTCCCTCTCGCCTCGCCAAACTCTCCTCGCCTCCGCCATGGCCGCCGCGGACCCCATGCCTCCGGCCGCGGCGAAGATCCTGCTGGCGAAGCCCGCGGTGCCGGCGCCCCTGGACCCGGGCTTCTCCCCGCTGGTCCTCGCCAAGAAGCAGCCGCTCGGATATCTGTTTCTTCTTTTGTTCCAAATCTTTGTTGGTGTGCTTTTTAGGGCCTGGTGGAAAAAAATAGAGGGGTTCCACTGGTTTAGATGGGTTTTGTTCCGCTTATCAGGGCCATCATTTTTTTCAAGAGGCCACCTATGCTCGGAATTGGTCGAGAAAAAAAACAAAAAAAACGGACTGAAAGGAAACCACAGGGATGCTCCAGCGAATCAGAGAGAGAGAGAGAGTTGGCAGATCCCCGCAAAACATCAGAAAAGGAATGACACACACACACTCACACAGCCGGGGTGTCATGCATTGAATGTGACTGACGTGCTGCTGTTCAGGAAGCAACTGTATGGAATAGTGAACGAGAAGGTTGACACAGAACAAGACACCTAGCTGACGAGGTGCCTGCAGGTTTGATGCCAACCCGGGCTTGATAGAAGGGCGGTCGCTCCAAAAACGATCTCTTAACTGAGACACCCCGAGTCACTTGTCCAGAGGGTTATAGAAAATTGACAGGAATCCTGTTATGCGCAGTATTTGTTCTCAACGTAAGACAGGACTTTAGAAATTGCCTGGTCATCCAAGAAAGCATCCAAGAAAGCGGCTGGACACATGTGGACACTGTATTGGCAAAATAGGGGAAGGTCTGCAGTCGCGGAAGGTTTGCGGAAGGGTTTGCCTCACGGAATCTTCGTCGCAGGTTTATGTGCTGACCATAAGACACTAGTTGCATAGCATGAAGGATGTGGGCTAATTGTCACGTATATAGTTATTTCTACGTATTGTATACACATACACATGTAGAGGGTTGTCCAAGTTGCACGAAATGCAAGCTGCTCTAGCCGGTTTTGAAGGGAATTCATAAGGAGATTGCTCGGGACGGTCTTGTTCCGGGGTCCTCTCATGTCCCCCCCCGCCCCCACCCAACACGAGCACACCCCACATTACCTTTGCAACCCTGTTTTTTCGGATGCATTTGGGGATAGGAACTCAGACCCCCCTCCCCCCCTCTTCCCCACTTCGGATACGAGTCCCAGCTTAAGCGCCTCGCTGAAGCTAGGTACCTCAAGGCGGTGGCCGGTAGCACGGAGAGTGTGGAGTGGGCGCTGCCTCGGGCGGACGGCTGCGCCCACTACAAGCTCCCCGTCTTCCCCGAGGATTCCCCGGACGTGGAGGCGAGGGGATTTGGAGGAAGTCACGAACGGGGTGGCAATTGGGGAGTTTTTTTTTTTGTGGCTTCCAAGGAAGTACGTGTGGGAAGGAGTTTGCGGGGAAGCTTAAGGCTTCCGAGTTTTCTTGGCAAGCTGTATTGTAGGGAAATGTCCATGGAAAAGCCACCGGCTGCTTCTTTTGTTTGAAGCACAAGGACTGGAGCCATTGCGTGTATGTGGAAAAACGTTTTTTTGTCGCCACTTTTTGCTGCCATGAGGGAATCCCTTGCAGTGGAATTCGGTTTTGTTCTTCGGCATCTGCAAAGATTTCGTGGGGAGTTCCGGGAAGACTTGCGCTTCCAGTATGCCAAGCATTGGATGACATCAGAGCAAGGGACACAAAGCGAAGGCCTCCGTCTACCTGGCCGGGGTGCTGATCCAGGACATTGCCAGCCGTTCCACGGTGACGAAAAACCCCAGTAGACAATCCTCACTTCTTCAAAACCGACCCTTTAACCTTTTGGTTTCCCCGTTTGCGGCAGTTTTAGTAGAGGTATGGACCTTTTATTTCTGGATCCTTTGGGCAAGTGAGCATTGGTCTTGGGTTCTTTGCTGCTGTAAAGGGACCACAAGCCGAGCACATGGGTTCCTGAAGCTGCCGGCCTTTGGTTTGGGGCAAAGGTCAACCCGATCCATTCGAATGGGACAGGAAAAGCCTCGAAAATGGCAGGTCCCTCGAGATGAATCGACGACCAAAAAGAAGACACTGGCTTTGTCTCGATGTTTGCTTGACGCACGGGTGTTGCTGAACAGGTTTCGTAACACATAGCATTTCAGTTTAAACATGAGCCTTTCCACCAGTTTCTGGGATGCTGGACCCACATTGGGTCCAGAGTCCGGCCCCCCCCCCCCCGGTAAAGCCGGAAGCGGGACCTGAGCGTTGAGCTCCAGGAGATGATCTGGCAGCGCAGCGCCAAGAGTCTGCTCTTGTCCGGCCCCGCCAAGATCTGCGAGGCCCTCGCCAAGGACACGACCGCCCGTGCACGCGCTCGGGCTCGAAAGGGCCTGGACCCAGCCAATGCTTTGAAGATGTGTGTGTGTGTGTGTGTGGGAGCCCGTTTGAGGCTGGTTGAAGGGAAACCAAAGGGAAAACCATAATTATTTATTGGGTGCCTTATTAAAACATGAATCCGTCCTAAACGATCTTTCAGTAGGTGTGTGGGGTAGTGCTTAACTCACAGGAACCAATGCTTGCAATGATTTAGCCCCGTATATCCTACTGTTTGATAGACTTTTAGACTTAAGTTCAGAGTTGGAGGTTTTTTCTCATGTCTTGCTCAAATAGATCAACCGCCCACTAAGGCTTTTTCTACAAAATTGGTTGCGACCATTGCCAGAGCTAGCTTACTTAATTTCGCAGAAACCGAGGGTGCACTTCCATCTAACACACCCACAGAAGTCGGCCCCTTTGATTGACAACTGGTCCAAGGACCTCAAGGTGTAGCAACGTGGAGGTGTCAGGCTCAATGCGCTTTGCTTGGTCGCAGCATAGGGAATGTTTGTGTGTGCGAGTGAAGAGTTTGTAGCCATGGAAGGATTCTTGTAAACAAAGTGTTGATCGGAATTTTGCGAGGGGGCCCTCTGGCAAATCGCGCGTCCCAATAGGCTGGAAATGGTGCCTGACACACTTTGCGATTTTTGATCTAGTTTCCCCTTCCTTCGGAACATTACCTCAATTCCGTTTCACTGGCGATCCAGAACTTGGCGTTTCCCACCCATTCCTAGCAATATTGACTTTTGAGTTTAGCAGGATTCGTGTCCTATCCCGCAAAATGTTTCAGCTTTAGCAAGAGAAGGGCGCGCCTTGTTTGGAGGGACCTCCCCAAATGGCTGGCTTTCCTTTTGCTTTCCCATTGAAAGAAACACCCCCAAACAATCGTTCCCTCAAAAAATCAACAGCTCGGCAATGCTTCGAACGTGCACCCTTAAAAGCGTGCGCCCTTAGCAGCGTGCACCCGTAAGCCAACCTAAACGTGCAAAAAGGCGGCGTTGGGTTCGATCCACACCGCCAGGAGTACTCCCCAAGCGGGATGTACGCCTTTGAGGTCAGCTCCATGCCCAACGTCTGCGGCACCCCGGAGGACGGGGAACTCGGCGATTCGTTGCGATTCGGCGATTCGGGCCGCGGGGCTCGGAGGGTTGAGGCTTAGGCTTCGTTGAATTCCTTGGCTGTCCTTGAGGCTTGGCGAATTTACTGGCTTCAAGATCCTTTGCGGCAAGGGTGACTTCTGTTTTACTAACCTCTTCCTTTTCTTTAGGGACACACAACTCATCTCGGTCTTCCTTTTCGGTTTCCCTTTCAACCCAGCCTTGAAGCCGCGCCCCAAGAGCTTCAGGAGCCCTTCGTGG